CTTCCAGGACTATGTTGAACAGGAGTGGTGAGAGTGGGCATCCTTGTCTTGTTCCTGTTCTTAGGGGAAATGGTGTTAGTTTTTGTCCATTGAGTATGATGTTGGCTGTGGGTTTGTCATATATGGCTTTTATTATGTTGAGGTATGATCCTTCTATTCCCACCTTGCTGAGAGTTTTTATCAAAAATGGGTGTTGGATTTTGTCGAATGCTTTTTCTGCATCAATTGATATGACCATGTGGTTTTTTTCTTTCAATTTGTTTATGTGATGTATTACGTTTATTGATTTACGGATGTTGTACCATCCTTGCATTCCTGGGATAAATCCTACTTGGTCATGGTGTATGATCTTTCTGATGTACTGTTGGATCCGATTTGCTAAGATTTTGTTGAGTATTTTGGCATCTATGTTCATGAGGGATATTGGCCTGTAATTCTCTTTCATTGTGTTGTCTTTACCTGGTTTTGGTATTAGGGTGATGCTGGCTTCATAGAATGAGCTTGGAAGTGTTCCTTCCTCTTGAATTTTTTGTAGTAGTCTGAGGAGGGTAGGTTTTAGTTCTTCCTTGAATGTTTGGTAAAACTCCCCTGTGAAGCCGTCTGGTCCTGGGCTTTTGTTTGCTGGAAGCTTTTTGATGACTGCTTCAATTTCTTCCATAGTTATTGGCCTATTGAGATTTTTAGATTCTTCCTGATTGAGTGCTGGAATGTTGTATTTTTCTAGGAATTTGTCCATTTCCTCCAGGTTGTCTAGTTTGTTGGAGTAGAATTGTCCATAGTATTTTTTAACTATCATTTGTATTTCTGTGGAGTCTGTTGTTATTTCGCCTCTATCGTTTCTGATTTTGTTTATTTGGGTCCTCTCTCTTTGCTTTTTGGTGAGCCTGGCTAGAGGTTTGTCAATCTTGTTTATCCTTTCAAAGAACCAGCTCTTGGTTTCATTGATTTTCTGTATTGTTTTTTTGGTCTCTATGTCATTTATTTCTGCTCTAATCTTTATTATCTCCTTCCTTCTGCTCACTCTGGGGTTTTCTTCTTGCTCTCTTTCTAATTCTTTGAGTTGAAGAGTTAGATGATTTACTACCATTTTTTCTTGTTTTTTGATATAGTCCCGTAGAGCTATAAACTTCCCTCTCAGGACTGCTTTCATTCTGTCCCATAGGTTTTGGATTGTTGTGTTTTCATTGTCATTAGTGTCCAGGCTTATTAATTATCTTATTAAATTTCTTGAGAATTTAAAAGAACTTTTATATTCATCATTTATTTTAATTCTTACAATAATTATGGCAAGTGTGTACCATGCTTAGCATAAAATAAAATATACATTATGCACATAATAGAGTTTAGAATGTACATTATCATTGGAACTCTCTCTATCTACTGTTTCTCTATAAAAGTTGGCTTTGAACTTTGAAATAAGCTTTCCTGAGCAGTGGGAATCATGAATACCAGTAGTTCTTAAAGTTTCCTTTCCTCAACACTAATTTGAAAAACCCTAGGAAAAGACTTTGGTCCTGCTTACATCAAATTTTCATCCCACTACTAATCATTGTGTATTGGAAGAGCAAGATCATGTTGAAAGATAACAGTTTTTATTAGGAACCAATATTGAGAATAGTAATAGGCTTTTTGAGTTTGTTTGGGGTGCTATAGCAGAATTCCATAGACTGGGTGGCTTTTAAGTAGACACTTCTCATTGTTCTAGAGCAGCAGTTCTCAACCCTTTAGGGGTTGAACGACCCTTTCACAGGGGTTGCCTAAGGCCATCGGAAAACACATATATAATTGCATATTGTTTATAGTAGCAAAATTACAGTTATGAAGTAGGAACAAAAATAATTTTATGGTTGGGGGTCACCACAACATGAGGAACTGTATTAAAGGGTCACGGCATTAGGAAGGTTGAGAACCACTGTTCTAGAGGCTAGAAGTACAGATTCTATGTCTGGTGACAGCCCACTTCCTGGTTCATAGAAGGTCTTTTCTCTGTGTCCCCACATGGGAAGAAGGGGTGAGGGATCTCTTTGGGGTCCCATTTTAAATATTTTTATTGATTTCAGAGAGGAAGGGAGAGGGAGGGAGAGATAGAAAATCGATGATGAGAGAGTATCATTGATTGGCTGCCTCCTGCATGCCCCACACTGGGGATCAAACCCGCAACCCAGGCATATGCCCTGACTGGGAATCGAACCATGACCTCCTGGTTCATAGGTCCATGCTCAACCAATGAGCCATGCCTGTTGGGCTCTTTGGGGTCCCTTTTATAAGAGTACTAATCCCATTCATGAGGGTTCCAGCCTCATGCCCTAATCACCTCCCAAAGTCCCCACCTCCAAATTTCATCACTTTGGGGCTTGTTTCAGCATGTGAATTTGGGGGAGACATAAACATTCAGTATATAGCAGAGGGGAAGAAGTTTCTCATGAAGGGAAAGGGTAGCAGAGACATGGCTACCTGGAGGACTTAAGAGTTGGCCAGCCATCCCAATTTGTGTCTATTTATTATCATTGTTTAATTTATTGATTTAATTTTGTGCTCTTTTACTTACTTGTATGACACTCAGTTCTCTTTTCCTTTAGTTCTTATTGCCACTTAATTGTTTTATGTTTTATCACCACTTCAAAATGAATTTTTAAAATCTCCAGTTTTAAATGTCATTTTCCCAAGAGGTTAGGTCTTATACCTCAGTGAAAATTATTTTTTTTAATAGACTTGATTGTTTTAGAGCAAGTTTAGGTTCACAGCAAACTGAGCAGAAAGTATAGCGTTCCCATTACCTCTGCCCCACAATATCTTAATAAGTTTTGTTTCATAGTTTTGTTTAATTACTAATATTTCAACATGCCTGCAATATTATTGTATTTTAAACATTCTTGACATATGTTGCTTTATTAGGCTTTAATCTGTTGTTTTCAGGTACATTCCACTCTGCATTCCCAGTCCGCACTTTTTTTGCTCCTTCCTTATACATACATTTGCTGATGCACATCATATGGATGTTCTGCTGGCTCCAACTCAACATGTCCATAAATTGGAATCAGTATATTATTCCCCTCTTAAAACCGGTTTCTCTTGTGATCCTTACATCAGTGATGATTATACCATCCAGAAATCTGGAGACTGATTTCCTAGTTTTTCCTTTCTTATCAGACACATTCAATCATCATGTCTTGCAGATTATATCTCCCAAATTCTACCCTTATCCCTGTTATTGTTGCCCCAGTTCAGGAATTCCTCATCCCTGGCTTCCTAGCTCACCTGCTTTCAGTCTTGTTCAAATTCAGTTCACAAACCAGAGTGATCCCCCTAAAATGCAAACCTCTTAAAGTCTCCCCTTGCTTCCAGAAGAAAACCCAAGGTCTTTCCTGACCTGGCTCCTGCCCATCCTTTTAGCACCCTTTTAGCACTTCTCCCATTGCTACACCCAAGCATCATTTTTCTCTAGCTTTTCTGATTGGAACCTCTTGAATGAATGGGGTAGTATAGTGATTACAAGCACAAACTCAGGCGCAAATTAATGCTTCACCAGCTGGGTCAAGTTTTACTTAAACTTTCTGAACCTCATTTTTAAAAAAATATATTTTATTGATTTTTTTACAGAGAGGAAGGAATAGGGATAGAGAGTTAAAAACATCAATGAGAGAGAAACATTGATCAGCTGTCTCCTGCACACCCCCTACTGGGGATGTGCCCACAACCAAGGTAAATGCCCTTGACCGGAATTGAACCTGGGACCCTTTAGTCCACAGGCCGACACTCTATCCACTGAGCCAAACCGGTTAGGGCTGAACCTCATTTTCTTTATTTGAAAAGAGGATAGCCTAACTACTTCAAATGATTATTATGAAGAGGAACTATGATAATATTGGCAGAAATACTTGGCATAGAGTAAGCATTTGATATGTGGTGGTTTATTATTATCATTCTATACTAGTCCATCCCTCACTAATTTTGCATCGTTCCCTTCTTGTCTTTTGTGTGGTTTCATTTAGCAATTATTTTTTTGACCACCCACTCTGTGTTAGTATTCTAGGAGTTGGGAAAACTTTGATGCACCAGAATGACATTCTGTTGTTCCCATTAATTCCTTCTTATGCTTAGAAACCTTTCTTGACATTACTAGGTGTGGGATGCTCTGTGGTACCACTTCCTGTTGTATATTATTCTAATTCTCTTGTTTTGCTTATCAACTTATCATGCTATAGAGCTAATGGTTATTAATGGACTCCACTATTAGATTGCCATTTTCTTGCAAGAAGGGTGTGAACTGTATTTTATTAATTTGTGTACATGGAATGCTAATAGTGCCTGATATTTATTCATTTAAATACACAGAGTTGGACACATGGAAGATAGTCAGTGAATGTTGCTTGAATGTAAATAAAAATTTGACTTAATAATATACTTCTCTTCTATTGCAGGGGTCCTCAAACTTTTTAAACAGGGAGCCAGTTCACTATCCCTCAGACCGTTGGAGGGCCGGACTATAGTTTTTTAAAAAAAACTATGAACAAATTCCTATGCACACTGCACATATCTTATTTTGAAGTAAAAAAATAAAACGGGAACAAATACAATATTTGTATTTTCATGTGGCCCGCGGGCCATAGTTTGAGGACCCCTGTTCTATTGTTTACTACAAGTGTACAGTATTTTATCTCTCTTTGACTTTTAGGGCTACCCTAGGAACCTGCCCCCTAACTCTGTCTTTACAGGAAATAAATGCAATTTGAGTACAAATAACTAACTTTAAAATGAAGCTTAAGAGTTTAATTCTTTGTAACTTGGGACTTACTTTAGTGTGAGAAAATTTCATGCCTTGAGCATTGCAAAGATCTGAACCTGATGACCTCACATTGGTTTTATTTTCATGTTTTTTAGATTTTATCAACATCCATTTTTAAAGTTTGTCCTTTTAGTGGCTTTTAAGTGATATGTGCTTAGCTGAGTACATGTTTTGACAATTTTTTCTTTCTTTCCTGTGTTCTTTCTTTCTATAGGCTTCCTTCCCTGGGAACTTACACTTGGTATTGGTTCTACGTCCAACCAGTTTTCTTCAACGAACTTTTACAGACATTGGATTTCGATTTAGTCAGGAAGATTTCATGCTCAAACTACCGGTAAGAGTATGTTTTTAAAAATGTGTTGTTCCTTTTATTCTCATGAAGGTATTGTACCATGCTGTTGATGTTTTATATGTGCTCATGAATAATTTAAAAGAAATAGAATTTGTCTTCCAAAAATGTAAATTTAAAAAGCCTAAAAGTCATCTGCTTCTACTGTTAAAGGAATAGATTAATGAATTTTTAATAAGGAAATTCCTTTTTAAAAAGATATATGTCACATATGTTACATATACAGGGTGGGGCAAAAGTAGGCTTACAGTTATGAGTACAGAGTTTGTTATTGTATTATTTATTAATTATTGTATTATTTTTCATACAAACAGCAATAAACCTACTTTTGCCCCACTCTGTATGTGTGCATGTGTGCATAAAATCAAGACATTTCATTTTAGAAAATAATGAGTATGTGTTTTATGTTTTTGAACTTCCATGAACTTACATCCTGAGCTAGTTCAGAATATTATGTATTTGTTTTTATAACAGATATTTTTATATGTTTTTAGGGCTAGGAATAAGGTGCTCATAAATTTTGATACTTTTGCAAAGATTAGTCTCTCTTGATAAATTATAACTGACTACATAAAGTCCTTTTGCTTTGTGGTAGGCATAACAGTCTTCCAAAAAGTTGACCATTAGATCAAGGAGAATCAGATGTTTGGGTTTTTATGGAAATTAATTTTGCTTTACAGATAAATGTTTTGTAAATGAAAACTTATTACCTGAAGAAGGTAGTGCTGCATACAGGTGTGGGGGTTATACAGGAGAGAATTTTTATAACCATTTATAAAAGATAAATTTCTTCTAACTGAAGGCTAAATTTCATTATACAGTTGAATGGAGGGATACCACAAAAGGCAGTTAACAGTATCTTTCTTGCTTATTTATATAGGTTGTTATGCTGAGCTCAGTTAGTGATTTGCTGACATACATTGATGACAAGCAATTAACCCCTGAGTTAGGCGGCACCTTGCAGTACTGCCACAGTGAATGGATCATCTTCAGAAATGTATGTTTCTTTTGCCCTTACTGTAGAGCCTATAGTTCATGTGAGCTTTTAAATCTAGTGCTAGAGTTCTTTTCCTCTTTGGGAAAAACAGATTTCTGGGGGCTCCTATTTTTTAAAAAACATATATAAGTCAATATCTTGATTTTCTTCTATAGGAAATACCTAGAAATGATGAAGAATCACTGAGGATGGCAGTTGAAGGAGAGGCCTAGGGAATAAGGAGATCTTCCTCTGTTCACCCCTTCTGTGGCCATTTAGTAACTTGAAGAAACAAAGGGTTGAGATTCAAATCATAGCACTGATGATTTTTAGCTGTGTCGCCTTGCACAAGTTATATAACCTCTCTGAATCTCAGTTTTCCCAGTTGTAAAATGGGAATAATAATACTTTAACTTATAGGGATATTGGGAAGATTAAAATGTTTAGCATGGGGCCTGACATACGGTGAGCCCTCAAAAAAAATGCAGATCATGTCTTGGCCAGGTGGCTCAGTTGATTGGAGCATTGTCCTGTACACCGAAATGGTTTGATTCCCAGTCAGGGCACATGTCTAGGTTGTGGGTTTGCTCCTCAGTCAGGGAGTGTACCAGAGGCAACCCATCCAATGTCTCTGTCTCTGCCTGTCTGTGTCTCTCTCTCCTGCTCCCTCCCTCCCTTCTCTCTAAACATATCCTTGGGAGAGGACTAAAAACTGCAAATCATATTGTTAATCTTACCACCCTAATGGTGCTCCTGAGGAAGTTATATTTGTAGCAAAGTCTCCTTCTGTTCTAGAAGTTTGTGGTCAGTTTGTGGTCTAAGAATCTTTGTTCCAAATCCCAGAAACACAGGAACCTTCTGAAGGATGTAACTAAATGATGTTTAATTAAACCGGAGCTCTATTTTTCTCACGTTTATTCTTCATTCAATGGTCCTAGTCATTCATATGAAGGTATATTGTCAAAATTAGCAGTGCTAGCCTTTTACTGAAAAGGCTATAAATAAGAAAAGCAGATACCTTGAGCTGTGTGGTAAACAGGGGATTTATATGGTCTCTATATGTTGTCCTTCTTTCTCTGAGTAATTGATTTGGAAACAAAATAAATAACAAAATCTTACTTGACATTTTAGGGCAGTAGAACCTGAAATGAATTGCTGTGAGTAGATGTTCCCTCATCACCTCATTCCATCACCTTGCTTGGAATGCTAATACTTGTTCATAAACTATAATAAATATAAAGTGACCTTGATATTCTCATCTATCTTCAGAAGTAAAGCTATTATAAAGTAATTTTACAATTACAGAGTTTACTAGAATAAGGAAAACACTATTTTTTAAGGTCATAAAACAAATTACTCAGTACATGACATCTTTAAGAAGTAGTTTTCATCGGTGTCTAAGAAATAAGTACAGAAATTTAGATAAAAGGCATTGAAGAAGACTCTTCTCCTAACTATAGATTTTGGAGGCTTAGATGCAAAGTTAGTTGATTGTCAAGGGCAATGCCAACTTTCCTTAGCAGAGGAGAGTTTGTAGTTTATGCGTTTGCTCTCATACCTAAATCAAAGTAAATACAATTACTGACCCAGCTTTTGATATGCTGGCAGGGTTTCCATAGAATTAAAAGAATCACTGGTTCTTTGCAGGCTATAGAAAATTTTGCCCTCACTGTGAAAGATATGGCTCAAATGTTACAGTCCTTTGGAACCGAGCTAGCTGAGACAGACCTGCCAGAAGATATTCCTTCAATAGAAGGAATTCTTGCAATTCGTGCTGAAAAGTATCACCTGTTAAAGGTATGTCTGATAGAGGAGATGAACAAATGTTTTCCATGGTCTTTTTCTAGAGAGGTGTTCAATGTGTCCATTTCACACTGATTAGTGGGCAGGGAGACAAAAGATATATTTATATATTATAAAGCACACTAATATAAATAAGAATACAAGAGGAGAATGTCCTGGATATGTTGAATGTAAGTGTCCCTTTTGTAAATGATGTATTCTCTTGATAAGTTGTTTATTTGTAAATTGAATAGTTTATAAATGCTCTGCGTCATTTTTGTTACTATATATTCTTTATCCTGTGAAAAGGAACTCTCGTTTGGAAAGTTAGAGTGAGTATCAATAGGCACACACCTTGCCACAGGTAGGATGTAAAATGGAGAACCTGATGAGAAGTCAGGAGGCCTGGTTTCTAGTCTCAACTTTGCCATGTATTAGCATTGGGACTAAGCCAAACATTGATAAATTAATTACAAGCTTTCTCTTTCATAGAGTACTAGTTCTTGATGTTTTCTACAATAACTAAGAAGTTGATTTAGCTCTCCTACCCAGTTGTTTGGAGTGTTGGGTTGTGAAGGTTTCTGAGTCACCAAATACTTTAAATTCACTTTTCCCAAAAAGTTTATGAATGATCTGAATAACCACTAAGCTTCCATGTAGACTCATGTTCTTCATATGATAATAGGCTAGCTGGGGTACTGACAGGTACAAGCTCTATATAGAGGTGACATTTTAAAAAAAATATATTTTATTGTTTTTTTTTACAGAGAGGAAGGGATAGAAAGATAGACACCTCGATGAGAGAGAAACATCGATTCAGCTGCTTCCTGCACACTCCCTACTGGGGATGTGCCTGCAACCAAGGTACATGCCCTCGACCAGAATTGAACCTGGGACCCTTCAGTCCGCAGGCCAATACTCTATCCACTGAGCCAAACTGGTCAGGGCTAGAGGTGACATTTTTAAATTAAGAAGAGGAGAGAAAGTGAAATTTTGAATCACAATCTAAAAGCAAAACTGTTCAAGGAAAGAATGCTCTGTCTCTCAAACGCTGTGTGTTGGATAATTTGCTTACCCTTTCAAAGTTTCAGTTTTTTTCATATGTACAGTGAGGTTGTTGATGATGATACATGCATACTTTGTAGAGCTGTTGTGAGAATGAAATGAAGTACATGATATATGTACTGCAGTGTTTGGCACATAGTTGGCAATAGCTCTTAATGTTTATGTTCTTATTAGAGGCCCAGTGTACAAAATTTAAGCAAGGGTAGGGTCCGTAGTGGCTGCCGGCTGCCTGCTGGGGCCTTCCTTCATTCCGCGCCCCCCCCTCATGGTCAGCACACATCATAGCGAGCGATCGAACTCCCAGTCAGTCGAATTCCCGAGGGGACACTTTGCATATTAGGCTTTTATATATAGAGATTCATATTGATGGTGGTGTCATGGAAAATGTTTCCACAAAAATACATGTACACCCCATTTTTTGATCTCCTGAAGGAAGCCATTATTACTCTTACATGCCTGGAGAATCCACTGTCCAAGGTTAAAACCTTATGAATAGAAGCATATGCTTCATGATAGATTAATTAATCCAAATGTGGACATAATACTTAAGGCAGGCAGTGATGGGCAACAATTAAATTTTAGTAGGAAAGGCATTTACCTAACAATATCTGAATATATATTAAATACTATTTGCAATTGTATGCTTTCTAGTGTGGTACACTTTATTATGCTATTATTGTTTTATTGAAGTACTTTAAAAATATTAACAGAATAGAATAACTTAGAACTCTCTACCAATAAAAGAAGGAGGCTACAAATAGTGCATTGGGTACTTCTGCCTGTAAAGATCTTATAGAAATAGTGATTGTAGCATCCATCTCAACAGGCAGAGGCTTCTTGGAGATTCTCACAGCTTTTGGATTCTGTGGTACTGAGGTATTCCTTGATGAAAGCAAAGACCATTCTAAACTACTATATTTATTCTGCATGCTATAGATATATTCTTCCTTCTCTTCAGGTTATTCAGATTAGGTTACTGGCAGGTATTTGATACATCCCCTATTGTACCTTTGTACAGAATGATATTACAGCTGTAACCAAAGAAGGAAAAATTCTGCTAACAAATCTGGAAGTGCCTGACCCTGAAGAAGCTATCAGTTCAAGATTTGAACATCATGAGCAAATAAGTGGTGACTGGCAAACTGTGAATAAGTGAGTACTTTCTTTTGGGTATAGAGTTACTTATTTTATACTTTTGAAAGAGAATTATGCATTTTTGCTGCAATCTGTTAAGTGTTAAAGTATTCCTGGATCTCTGGAAATTTAAGAACTCATTCCTGAGTTGTCTCACAGAAGTTCATTTGCTTGCAGACTAGGTTCTGTGGACAGGGATATTCTTTACTTGGACCAAGTGTTATAGGCTGTGACTTTGCCTATAATTCTTAATGTCCATACCCAGTTTATCTACCTACTTAAAAAACAAGCCTTTGTTTTTAAGGAATTCTATGACTTTTCTTTGTTAAGATTGCTGACTCAAGTACATGATATGGAAATTGCTTTTGATGAATTTTGGGAAAAACACCAACTAAAAATGGAGCAGTATCTGCAACTATGGAAGTTTGAGCAGGATTTTCAAGAGGTCAGTTAAACATTTCTTTTTCAAAAAATTGATTTTAGAGAGAGGAGAGAGAGAGAGAGAGAGAGAGAGAGAGAGAGAGAGAGAGATTGATGTGAGAGAGAAACATCGATCAATTTCCTCCTGCATGCACCCTGACTGGGGATTGAACCCACAACCTGGGTTTGTGACCAGATCGGGAATTGAACTCTCGACCCTTTGATTCTCGGGATGACACTCCAATCAACTGAACCACACTGGTCAGGGCTAAATATTTCTTTATACATTTATTTTCATTATTTCAGAGTTTTTTATTCCTTGATCATTAGAAATAGTCTCCAAGATGACCATTTAAACCCATGGAGAGATGGGGTGGGGGGAGGAGGCAACTGTGAGTGAACCTTGACCTTGAATGAAGAAAAAAACTACTAAATGCCAAGACTTCTACTTCTGTGGCTCATTCATTTCCTTCAAAAGAGCACTTATGTGCTAACATATATGAGAAAGACTAAAGTTGTAGTCTACTCTGATGTTTGTTATTCAAATTTACTTTAAATATAAAATGTTTTCAGCTTATGGGGTAGCTTTCCTAGAAAATAATATCAATTTCCTTCTTGATTTTTCAAAATACCATATTCCTCTGCTGACTATGTTTTACATGATCTAACAAAACTTTTTTTTTCTGATTCAGCAATTTATATTTATGAAAAGCCTGATGGATGAAATTTAAATCATGTTTAGTTATACATTATTTAAAAGGTTATAAGTATATTCTATTTGGATTTTTCTGGAAAATCCATCATATATAGTCAAGAGATACAGAATTAATTTTCTTTTTTTAAGTTGACATCTGCTTGTTGCTTTATTTAATTTTTTTTACATTAAAGGCAAGACTAAAATAAAAAAAACTCTGAACTTATGCTTTTAACCCCAGTAGAATCAAAGAATAGCTATACTTCTAAAGTAGCTCCAATAAAGCAAATATTTTTCATGTAAGTACGAATATTACCTAAACAAGGTAAAATATAAATATTTAATTTTGTACTTAAGTTGAAGTGTTACCACTGAAGTCAATTATAGATGTTTACTCTAAAAGAGGTTACTATGAAGACTGCAGACTCAAATACTGATAATGGTTATTCAAAATTCAATTAATGGATTACCTAGAAAATAGGTTGAATTGGAACCCATTGTGAGTTTTATAATATTCATTAGCAATAGGTTTTAAAGACATAAAAAGCTATTGTTTCCATATAAATTAGGAGTTTAAAAATCATCTCTAGTGTTTTCAACTGTCATATGGCCATGAACCAAATACCCAAATAATTAAAAATGATCAGATACTATTTAGGCAACGATTCTCATGTGCCAGTACTTTTAATGTTGTGTACATAAAATTATAGTAAAAAGATGACTGTATACAAGATGTAGCTCCTCCATTTCCATGATCAGCACACTGCATTATAATAAACTGAGTGTATATTCCACCATCAAGTGTGGTTTTCCCATTGCTTTATTTTGTGATGAATCATTGAGAAGATCTTCAAATCCAATAGTTTCATCATTACCCCACAAAATATCAGTGAAAGGTATGAGTTTGAAAAAATGGAAGACGCCAAACCTGTTGCACTGCATTGAATTCCATTTGCAATTTTAGTAGAGCAAACAGACCCTGGATGTTTCTGTGTGGAAAAATTAATTTTATATTGGTTGAGCTGGAAATTTTCTTCCGATAATTCAAGAGTATGACTGGGCAAAAGTTCATTTTTCAAACAAAAAATGTGTTTGAAGATCATGTTTTTCAAAAGGTTCACTTACTGAAAATTCAATAACTGGAATATTGCCCTTTAGCTGAGATCCAAGTCCTCTCGTATTCATCTTTTCCTCAGTCTGTGAACAGCCTTTCAGCTCCATCACTGCCCTAGATTTAATTGCTTCTTTTCTTTGCAATCATGTCCAAGCTCCTCACAGTCTCTTTCATATATGTTACCAGGGAATCCATGAAAACTCACTTCTTTTCTGTCTTCCATGTGGCCAGCTTTTTTTCTACCCATGAGTGGCTTACTTGCTTGGTATTTCATTTGTTCTAGCAGGATTAGGTCTTGGAGGGGCACTGCATTCTGGACACAGGGCACAGTTACTACCAGTCCTTTCCCTCCTATGATTCAAACAGATTTTGAAATGCCATGCTCTCCATGAAATCGTCCTGAAAGAATAGGTCAAATTGCTCTTGGTCCTTCTAGATATTTGTGTCTCTCTCTCCTCCCCAAATGAACACATGGAAAAGTAACACTTTCCCTGATCATACCTATTATACCTCTCTATATATCTTAATTTGCACCCATATTAAATTTTTATACTGCAGTTATATTCTGTTTCTTCTTGGATTATAATCTCACTGACATGATCTGTATTTCATAGTGACATCAGATAGACTCTGTATATTTAGGAAGTTAACTTAAAAACTTGTTTGGCAATTTCAAACTTTCATAACATTTTGAATATTGTCAAATTTGATGTTTTTGAATATACAGAATAGGAATATTATGTTGCATAATTATAGTACAGTTACCAAATTTAGTACATTCAACACTAATGCGATACTTTTGTATTATCTACCGTCAGTATTCCAATTTTGCCAACTGACTTGATACTATCATTTTTTTGCCATCAATAAGAAGTTTACTGTTTTTTAAAAAAAATCCAAATGCTGACATTGCCCAAATTAACATGTACATTTACATTTTTATAAAGTTAAACTGCTGAATGTTGTTTACTGAAACATTTTAACTTGCATCAATGCTTTATGTTCCCATGTTTATATTAAAAAAATTCTCACACAAATGAAAATGGGAATACTGCTAATACCTGATTTTTGTCCCCTTTTTGCAAGCATATAGTTAGGTAACTTTTGACCCATGGAAAAAAAATCTAATGTTCAGAACTACCAATAACAGGAAGAAGAGAATTTTTTTAACAGAATGAAATGTTTCCATCTTAGTGGATTCTTAAGCACACTTTCCTCATATGTGGTGTGCTAGCTGGATGTCTTTTGGCATAATTATTACATGTTTGGCGTGGATAGCACACAGGTTGGTGTCTTCAAAAAGGCCAACCAGATAGGCCTCATTTGCCTCCTGCAAAGTACCAATAGGTGCATTCTGGAAGCGTAGATCTGTTTTGAAGTCCTGAGCAATTTTTCACACCAGATACTGGGAGGGAAGTTTGTGAATCAGAAGTTCAGTAAACTTCTGCTAACGTCTAATTTTAGGAAGTTCCATGGTACCAGGCCTGTAATGATGAAGTTTCTTACCCCTTTGGTAGAAGGTGTACTCTTGAGAGTGACTTTGGTAGCTAGTGGCTTCCTCGGTGCTTTACCACCAGTCTATTTGCAGGAAGTTTGCTTTGTATGAGCCATTGTATAGAGAGACCCATTCTTCAGGTGTCCTTTTTTTAAAAAAATTGATTCTTTTTTTTTGAGAGAAAAAGAGAGAGAGAGAGAGAGAGAGAGAGAGAGAGAGAAAGAGAAACATCAATTGATTGTCTCCCCTACACACTCTGACTGGAGATGGAAACCAAAACCTGGGCATGTATCCTGATGAGGAATTGAACCCATGATCCTTCAGTGCACGGGATGATGCTCCAACCAACCTTATTTTCCCATGTATAATACAGGGTCCAGTCTAGAGAGTCTTGTATGGCATTAAGTTGTCACGTCTCCTTAGTTGCCTTTAATCTAGAACATTTCTATAGCCATATTTTGTCTTTTATGACATTGACATTTTTAATAATACAGTCCTTTTTATTCATTTTATTTTTAATTGAAATTATTGGGGTGACATTAGTTAATAAAATTATATAGATTTCAGAGGTACAATTCTATAATACATCATCTGTATATTGTATTGTGTGATTTCACTGACATGTGGAATATAATGAACAAAATAAGCTGATGAACAAAATAGAAACAGAGGCATGAATACATGGAACAGACTGATAGCTGTCAGAGGGGAGGGAGAGGGGGCTGGGTGAAAAAGATGAAGGGATTAAGTAAAAAAATAATTTATAGACAGACAAAAGTATAATACAGTCCTTTTAAAAATAAAATCTTCTTTTTGAATTTGTCTGACATTTTCTCGTGATTAGATTAATCTGTGTATGACTACCTAGAATATCGCATATGTGATGTGTCCTTCTGAAGGTATCAAATCTGGAGGAAATTAAGTCCACCGATCCCTCATTGTTGATGTAGACTTTGATCACACAGTCAGGGTGCTATTAAATTTCTCCACTGTATAGTTACTTTTTTCCACTTGTATCTAATAGGAAATGTGTGGGGAGAGAATTTAAGGCCATGAAAATATCTTTTAAAAATATATTATTGATTTCAGAGAGGAAGGGAGAGGGTAAGAGAGATAGAAACTTCAATGATGGGAGAGAATCATTGATCGGCTGCCTCCTGCATGGCCCCTACTGGGGATCCAGCCCACAACCCATGTGCCCTCACCAGAATCGAACTGTGATCTTCTGGTTCATAGGTCGACGTTCAACCGCTGAGCCACAGCGGCTGGGCCCATGCAAATATCTTGCTCCTCATCAAAAGATAACCATAGGTTTGATATCAATTGATCTTTCTTTTTTTTTAAATATATTTTATTGATTTTCTACAGAGAGGAAGGGAGAGAGACAGAGAGCTAGAAACATCGATGAGAGAGAAACATCGATCAGCCGCCTCCTGCACATCTCCTACTGGGGATGTGCCCGCAACCCAGGTACATGCCCCTGACCGGAATCGAACCTGGGACCCTTCAGTCCGCAGGCCGACGCTCTATCCACTGAGCCAAACCGGTTTCGGCTCAATTGATCTTTCTTGATTTAAATAGTCTTTATTATAATAGTTGTGAAATGCTGGGTTTTTTTCTCTAGTGTCTCCTCCACATTTACCAGTCCACATAGGCATGCTACTGTAAGCAAGGGTCTTCCCTTCTCCTTATCTATCATCTATCTATCTATCTATCTATCTATCTATCTATCTATCATCTATCTATCATCTATCTATCTATATTTTTGGGTCCATGGCTTCATAGGTTTTTAATGGTTCATAATTTATTACTGCTCTTACTATTTTGGTGTTTCAAGCTAACTACCATGTCCTGGTGATATGTCTAAATATTATTTTATCACTTCTTTACTTTCTAGCATAAAGAGATGGTCCAAGCCTCAGCCTTGGAACCAGACATTTTCTAGAAGCTCTGGTTTCTTTCTCTGGAAAATGATGTTAAAGATCAACATCTGCATGCTAGGAGTCCTCCTTGCTACTAAAGGGTCTTTGTTTCTAGAACTGTTCACCATAGAGCTAGGGAATATATATGTATAGGTATATACACTTATACATACTTCCATACATGTCCACATATACATGTTTTCATATGTACATAGTGATATTTTATAAATAATCAATACACACTGATATCTAGGAGTTTAAATTTTAGCAGATTATATGAATTACTGTGAATAAAATAACTGAAAAATATTTTTCATATGTGCAATTTTTTCATATTGATGTTCTTATTTAATAGCATTTCCTATACAACTTGATTATTAAGGGAAATGCTTAATAATTTATTTGCTTGTAAGACTAATTTTTATTACTATTTTTAGCTTGTGCGTGAAGTTGAACTTCTATTAAATCAACAAGCAGAGTTGGCAGATGTCACAGGGAATATAGCTCATATAAAACAAAAAATAAAACATTTGGAAAACTTAGATGAAAATTCTCAGGTAAGATTACATTTCAGATGTTCATTATATTTATGGAGTATGATAGTACATTTTGATGCTTTTCAGTGGTTGAAACCCTTATTATGATTATTGGTAATCTCTCAGCAACAATCTATATAATTTTTTCAATAATATTGGTCTGTTTTCCATTCTGTTCAATGTGGGCCTGAAGTGACACTGCATATATCATGTAGGAAGCTTCTGAGATAATGGTGTGAAATATTTTAGGCCTGCCAGTGGGAACAAGATCATAAATCATTTGAAGAAGCTAGAAAAATGTCTATCAAGAATCCTATTTGTGTACTTGGAAATAAGGGAAACATACAAGAACATAATTCCATAAATATCCATCATTTGTTATATCTATTTGAACCAGCATACATTCATATAGATAGATCTACTTAATCTGACTAGCTGTGTGACCTTACGTAAATTGATTACATTTTCTAGGCCTCAATGTCCTAATTTATAAATTGGTGATGAAAGGACCTACTTTGCAGAGTAGATTGTAAGGATTCATTTAGGTGTTGTAGATAAAACACTCAGCACAGTACCTGAGATACATGACTCAAAAGAGCTAGCTGCCAGTCTTAAAGCTTGGACTCATGGCTTTACTAGTTAACAAACTCTAGCTTTGCTCTCCTGTTTTGTATGAGAGGCCAAGGCCATGGTTTTTAAGGTGGGTTTTCAGCAAACAAATAGATTTATGGGTGAACCACCAGCACCAAAAAACAAAAATTGAGAGGTAGCAGTTGTGGTGACCAGTTCTGGAATTGTGCTTGTAGATCTTTGTGATTGTGCGGCAATTTACAGATCCCTATGGTAGAGTAGAAAAAGAAGGCAAACTGGGTTGGAAACTAGGGGGCTTTGGTTTTATTGTTTGTTTTTTAATAATTTTCAGTTGTAATTGTGATGAAAGACATAACAAAATTTAATATTTTAACCATTTTAAGTGTACAGTTAAGTAGTGTTTAATGTATTTACATTGTTGTGCAACAGATCTCTAGACCTTTTTCATCTTGCAACACTGGAATTCTATTCCATTAAACTGCTTCCTATTTTGACCCTGGTTTGTCCACTATCTAGATAGGCTAGTCACTTCTTCATATGGGGCTTCAGGTTTCTTTATTTTACGTCGACAAACATTTCCTGAGCTCCTATTATGTTTCAGTCACTGTGGTGGGGGGCGAGTCAGCAGTTGATGTGGAGGCAAGGCCTTTAAGATCCCTTTTGACATGCAAACCCTGTGACAGGTTCACTTCAGGTCTGTAAAGGTGTCAGGTGGATTTCCAAGGCTGACATGTGTGAAATCAATTAGCTTTCTTTGGCTGGTGTGTACTTCATTTGATATATGGGGTTCTGTTCTAAATCTGTACAACCCACAAGAAGCAAATCTCATTCCTATTCTGGGAGGCTGGATAGTCTTCTTTTTATATTACCAGAAATGTGTGAGTTTTTGATATCAACTGCTATAGCTAATTACTGTAACAGCTTTTTTTGCAGCCTGTAAAAGTATGATATCAAATCATATTTTTGGCAAAATATCTCCTTGCTCAATCAGTCTGCTTCTTAATTATTCCCCTCTCTTTGAACAGAGATCATGCAGTTATTATTTTACTTCTTTCTTAAAATCAGGATTTGTTAGCAAAGGTCCAGTTTGTGATTTTACATGGACACAGACTTACATCAAATCACCATTATGCACTTGATTTGATCTGCCAGAGGTGCACCGAGCTACATTATCTTTCTGATATTTTGGTTAATGAGACAAAACACAAACGGATACAACTCAGCTGGACCTTCGAAATGCATAAACGTCTACAGCAGGTAGTGTCATGTGGCATGGTGCATTTCTGAAAAGGAAGATAAATATTTTTCCTGGATCCTTCTCAGAGGTTATATGGTCAGGGTCTGGTATAGCTTTGGAATTTGCAAGAGGTCTGAGTTTGACTATGCTTATTTAATCCATATTAACTCTGCAGAATTCATAGCAGGTTAGTATTATAAGAATTTCGGCCTCTGTTCTGAATATTGTGATTGTGGTTGTGATGGCTTCTTTCTATTTTGGGTACATCTCTGAAGCCTCTACTCTAGTGATAGTTTGCAGACAGAACACTTTACAAAACCTTGGGGGGGTATTTTGATAAAACCCGAAACTCTTTCCATATTTCATAGTTATAGCAGTAAAAAATTAAAGTGACTGGAAAATATTCTGCCATTGCTTGAGGGTCTGACCCCATTCATGGGTAAGCAGTGAAGATAAGATCTGTTCCTGGCAGTGGAATGAAAAATAGGGCTATCATTTACAGGCATCATATCTGAGCATGAACATTTTAATCTGCACATCTTCTATGTCAAGGAAACTTTTATCCTTGTCCTGAGCAATCATTATGCTTTCATATTATACTTTATATTTGGCTAGGACTTTCATATTTCAGTTATTGATTTTGGGAAAATAGCATGCAGCTCAAATATTAGTATTGATAGAATGGTCAGGCTTCTGCTGCAGAATGATTTCCTTGTTATGAAATGAGTTCAGTGCTTCCCAGGTTTGGTTGTGCATCAGAAATACCCGTGGAGCTCTGTAAACATAAATACCTGGCTTATGGCCCTGAGCTACTGAATCAGAGTTTCTGGAGACCCAACCCAGATATCTTTATTTTTAATAGCTCTGAAAGTAACCCTGATTGACAGAAGCCAGGACTGATAAACTGATAAACACTGTTTTAAGGGACAAACATATATGTTTTCATTTACTCATAGTTATGGTGTGTGTGTGTGTGTGTGTGTGTGTGTGTGTGTGTGTGTGTAGTGTGCTCTCCAGGCTCTTCAATGCTGTGATGAAGGAGAATGTCTTCTAGCTAATCAGGAAATAGATAAGTTTCAGTCTAAAGAAAATGCTCAAAAAGCCCTCCAAGATATCGAACATTTTCTTGAAATGGCTCTGCCCTTTATAAACTTTGCTACTAAAACCCTACAGTATGAATTTGATGTACTTTTATCCCCTGAACTCAAAATAAGAGGCTTCTTTTTAAATAAGCACGTTTTTTAAAAACTATAATTACCATAGGTTTAGTATTGTAAGAGTTTTATTACTTCACTCCTAACTTTATATCAAATTGCAATTACACAGTGCTCTTAAGGATTAGAGGTGATATCAATGTCACTGTTAAGCTTCAAAAAATCCAAAGGCTTATTCTTGCTATTTAATTAAGAGTAATTTCTTTTATGAGCTCTGACTCCATTATTTTTAAACTCTTTTCACATACTAGGAGCTCTCACATACATTTTCTTGTGCATCCTTGGAGAAAGACCAAAGCTGTATTGGCAAATATTGGGCCAATGTCAAGATCACCCTACCCCAAACATCTTTTCTTTGTGCTGCAGTAACCAACAACAGATGCTGTGTGGATACAAATATCGCTTCTACTCAGTTTGAGAAGGAAGGTTTAAAGAAAGGATCTGGGTCTTCTTAATGGGGGTGGGGAGCAAGCGGAAGTTGCTGTTGGTGGGGTGGAGAGCTTTAGGTTTGTTCAGTACCACCCCATTGGAGATGTCATGAAGCACTGTTTTCACATTGTAGATAAGTTTATTTGTGATACTATTTGCTGCTAAAATGTGTAATTGACACAAAGATTGGAACAGTATTTAAATCTGTGTTTAGCAGCAGATCTTAGGGAATGCCCCAGAAAAACAGAAACATGGCTGTGGCAATAACCGAGTCATTCTCTGGATGCCACCAAGCTTAGCTGTGTCAAATTGTCTAGGAAGGCCAGAGGGAGATATTCTTTATAATGGCTCTGAGGAGCCTTTTACAACATGGAGAACTAAAAGAAACATAAACTACTGTGACAGTGCTTAACTTGGTGGCTTTCTGATTCTAAATATGCCTTCTTTTCCAGGCAATATCCCTTCTTGTTTATGAAGGGTAAATCACTTTATGTGGTGACCTATTTCATGACTGCTTGATGAATTTTTCTTTTATTTGTTTTGATTATGTGGAGATAATACATTAATCTCCATTACTTTTCTAAATTCCTTCTAGTTATATTTTGAACTCTACATTAATTTACTTTTCTAAATTCCTTCTAGTTATATTTTGAACTCTACATTAATTTTTGGACTGTTTGAGTCTGAGAAATCTGATAGTATTTGTAATCATCCCATTTCATAAAATATTTCATAAAATTTTTATACAACCTGTAGATTCAAATTCAGACTGTACAACTCAAGCTTGAAAGCATTCGAACTGTATTTGAGAACCAACAAGCTGGTTTCAAGAACCTGAAATATGAGCATGTGAGGCCAATCCAGTTTGTGGTACCTGCTTCCAACAAAGGGATCATACCTAAAGCACCCCTTTTTTCACCTAAACCTGGTAAAGAATCTTACATTCCCTCTTTTATTTTTTATTTTACTGCTCTTATTTACTTTGTTACACCTACAGGATGTTACAAATCTGTACTTAATAGTCCAGACTTGCAATGAGTGTGAACATTTATACCAGCATCAAATTCACCCTTTTCTTCAGCAGGTGGAAGAAGGAAGGCATATGATACTGGTACACACATGTGCCTGCACATACTCACGCATATACACTATATACCTCAAACTATTACTTGGTTCTTATAAGCTTCTAGTAAGTAAATGGCTTGGATAATAGAATGGCTTGTCTGTTGTACATAAATGCAAGTAAGTAGAACAATTTTGCCTGTCACAGAGTCCATTTTCTGGTTTTAATCTTTGTTGACCTATTTCAGTCATGTAATATCCATTTCCCTTTCTACATTCTGTGGGATAAAATAATTATCCTCACTATGTTGTTGAGCTACTCTGGAAATAAGATGACTGTATTGCTCCAAGGTTTCCCTTGAGCAGCCTCTGGTGCCTCTTGAAGGGGGAGAGTGATTTGGCTTTGGGGCCTTAAGTAAGTTGAATGGGTGAATGTAGGATTAAATTCAGTCTCTCTTATCTAAGAGAATCAGAGACTTTATTAATGTATGGGAACTATTTTGAAATTCATAGAAAGCTTGAGCCAGGCATAATGAGTTTAAAAATCCAGCCCAGCCCCAGTATGGATCATATTTAAAAGAGATGAGGAAAGCAGGTAACTAGGCTAAGATGATCAAAGTTATATAATTAATAATTATTAAACATAAAAATATACTCACAAATAAAACTGACCAATCCCATAAATAAGTAATGTTGACTATGATAATATGGGGAAAAGTAAAAAAAAAATAAGGGGCTAAAAACCAATAACTGAGAATGAAAATAGAACAGGTGGATATTCCTAAGATCTCAGATTCCTGCATTCATTTACTGTCTGTGTGACCTTGGACAGTTCCCTTAACCTTTTAACCTCAGTTTCCTTGCCTGTAAAATAGGAACATTGACACCTATTGACTTCAAAGGGTTCCTGTGAAAAAAATTATAGAACATAAGAAGTATTCAATAAACAAGACTATCCGACTAAGGCTTCTTTCTTTACAGTCTTCTAAAAGTTCAGCTCCTTGAAAGGGGTTCCAGAAGTGGCGCACCTTGGGTTGAGAAACAGGATTCTGAAGAGACTGTCCAAATCCCACTCACTGCCTTAATCACTAAAGTGCATATTGCTTTGTGTTGTTTCATTAATTTCTGATATTCTTAGTTAATAGTGTTACACTTTCTTTCTGCAGTGGGAGTTGGATACTTTCTTTCAAGCATGTAAATTTTTTTTTGAAAGGTACCCATCTTTATTACTTTTCACTAGTACATTTTCTGAGTTTGTGTATGTGAAAAATCACTTTGGCATTTAAAACGATCAGCATTCATTTTTGCATTCTGCCTACAATTAACTTTCTCTCTTTTTCATAATAACTGTCCATTATTCTCTCAGTATTACACGTAGTCTTGGAAAATGACTATATAAAAAGTAGATTATGCGCTTTCATCAAATGACCACTCATAAGAGGAAAACAGTTTCACTATTAAAATAAATCAAGCTGTTTTTCATTTTATAGACTCTTGTGTCATCCACAATAAAATTATTTGTTGGGAGTAGCTTGAATTTGCTGCAATTTAAGACTGCCTAGTGCATTTATGAGGAAGAAGGCAGCTTCATGACATGGTTAGATTAATGATTTTATTAATCATAAATCATGGTTTATAAATTAAATCAAAGCATTACTTATGCTACAAACATCATTCAGTTTACCCTATTGCTCTGTGAATAATGGGGATTATAACAATAAGTTCCAAATAATTCTTCAAGACTTTTAATTGCTAAGCCAGATATATAAGTTTGGGTCAAATCAAAGCATAAGTGCTAATTTTTCATAAAATAAGTTAAGCTGTTTTTTTGTTCTTTGCTTTTATTTTTATTAATTTGTATCAAATAGAATCCTGTACCTAGCACAGTTGTCTCCTGGAACCTAGCAGGATGTAACAAATATTTGTTGAATTAACATTTAATACAGAAGGAAGTTATGGAAGAACATTGTCTGTGAGGGGTAAAATGTGGTTTGAGTTCCTAAATCTGTAACTCTAGTCTAGTCTTACCTGCATTTACAATTTGCCTCCTCGAATTTCCTATAGACAACTCAGAATCAGCGTACCCCAAACTGATTGCTTCTCTTTTGCAAACCTGCTCTTCCTATTTTCCTCATCTCTGTGAATAGCACCATGATTCCTGGGCCCTTGGCTTCTCCTTCTCACTCATGCCCCACCTCTCATCGGTAAAAAAACCTCACTTATTTCCATTCCCATTGCTATCACTCACTGCCACTTCCCTAATCCAAGTTAATATCATCTATTACTTTGACAACTATAGGAGTCTCCCTGTCTCCCCATTTTCCCTTCTTAAATTCCCTTAGTTATCTTGCCTTTGGACTTCACATATACTGTTTTCTCTCAGGAACAGTGTTCCCTTCCCTCGCTCGTTTCCCTTCACTAGCTCCTACTCCTCTATTAATTTTCCTACTGTAGGCCACGTCCTTTAGATAATATTTTCCTTCCTGCCTCTCCTCCCCTTTTCCCAGTTCAGTTGGATAGTCAAGCTATGTGATAACAAGTCCCTGTTTATTTTGTCTCACCTTTAGTGTTATTTCCTGTTTTGTGTTTCTCTTGATAGACTGTAAGCTCTATAAGGGAAGGGTCTCTGTGCAATTTATGTTTGTATCCCTAGCACCAAATTCGGAGCTTAGCATATAGTATAGGCACTCAATAAGTTTTATACATATTTACATTGTTAAAAGAATGAATTCATCTGCATTGCTTTTCAGAAAAAAGTGCCTTTTGTAAATACTCTTTTTTCATCTCTTCATGTATTTGCTAAGAATTAATTAGTACAGCTAGTTAGTGAAGATCCCTAATTTACCTTTGTAAATAAGTTCAGATCTCTATATCAAGTGTCTTTAAAGTGATGGACATCAGTATTTATTGAGAAATTGATTTTATATAGTAATTGCCAGTAAGTCTAATTTATATTTATATATATGATTATATAAACCTAAAAACATGTAATGCATTTTTAAGTAAATGAAAGTATAAAATTTAGAGAACATAACAGCATAATAGCCTTTCCCTGAGTGTGCCTTGCAATGGCTCCTGCTGAGGAGGAAAAGACATAAAGTATGTTCCTTCCATGGAGAAGAGAGACCTACAAAGCCTGTGTGGGTGGCAGCCTTTTCAGCAGCCCTGAGAATTAGGAGCTTAAATGACCTAGTCTTTGAGTGGACCAGGCACTGGGCTTTGTCAGAACATCTGGACTCCTTGCATAACAATATAGGGGCTCACCCTTTTTAAACAGAAGAGAATGATTAAACAGAAAGAAAAAGAAAGATTAAACAGGAAGAACAGAAAGATTAAAGTTTGGAATTTTGATGAAGTTGTTTTTTGGTTTGTTTCGTTTTAGCACCTTAACATGCTTCAGACATGTTGTTTTATATAGTGGTTAGAAACAGATTCTGATAGTAGACAATTTAGATTTAAATACCACCTCTGCTTTGCACAAGATAGTAACCTTACTTACGTATCTTTAAAATGGGGATAGAAGTAGTACTTATCTCTTAAGGTGATTTGAGGTTTGAAAAAAAAAATGCCTGTGTAGGGCTTACAAGAATGTGGGCATATTGTAAGTGCCAAATAAATGCTGTAATTATTACTTAAGTTTAGATTTTTCTCAAAACTTTTTGACCCAGTTAATCAGTGAGGTACAATCTAATTAAATGCTTATGTGTCAAGATGAACACCACATCTACAAATAATTTATGTGTACTATCACTCAGCTTCATGCTTGCTTGTCAATCAAGTGAATGTTTCATGAAGGAGAAAATGGGTTGATACATGGCAAAAGTATACTCAATAAGAAGTTGAGATCATATAGCTAAATTTAAACATTCAAGTGTTTTGTATAGTGTGATTTTAAAAATACTGATATAAACACATTGTAATATTACTATCTTCCTGTTTAATAAACATGCATGTAAGTGTTGATTTTCACTCTGGTCTGAAATATTTTCACATTTCTCTCCCAGGGAAGAAGACTTGGAAACAAAATCAGAGCAACTTAAAAGTAAATATCATTAATTAATTCAAAGATGACTTTATTACTGAGTTCCAGAATAGGTATAGGGTCTTAAAACCATATTTTTAATCACTCAACCACTGTGTTTTTGAAAGCCTATTTAATCTAAAAGGAAAAGCTGATGCTGCATTGTGTCTAATTGCAGTCCTGGCATATTCCCAGATGAATGAGTAGTTTCTCAAATCTTGGGTCAAATTCAAAATAATTTCTGTAGAATATCTCATGTATGTTCCAGCATCTCTTTCCCCGCACCCCATTTCAATAATCATAAGTAAGTGATGTACATTTTTATAAAAGGGGATTTCTTTCATAAGTAATTCCAGTCCTGTAAGTAAGAAGCATGGGTAAAGGACAGGTTCTAATGGACCATACTTTGGGCTGAAAAAGACATCTATTCATTTCTTGACAAATACATGATTCCTTCTCAGTTATCCATGATATTCTGGTATCTTCAGAGAGTAGCCTGATCATAATTGCAATGCCCTACATTTTCTTTGTGTGTTCTTGATGGTAAATAAAGACAAGAATATATTGCCAACGGGCTGTTTGTCATAGTGATACAGATTATAGAGCCAGACTGCCTGGCTTTTAATCCCAGTTGCATCACTTGGCTGTATAACCTTGGGTAAGTTCTCGGAAATCAGTTTCCTTATCTGTAAAATGGAGATAACAATAGGATACCCTCATTATGGAGTTAGTATAAAAATAAAATATTCTAATATTTGTGAAGTACTTTGAAAAATATGTGGTGTATGGTAGTGTTCTAAGGCTTTTATACAATTATTAACAGGCTAGTGAATAACCTACATACCATGCCTGGTTATCATGTTATACAGCCACAACTTCTGGTCCAAGAAGGAAACAGGTTGAATGCCAAATTTCATCGTCCTACATGTCTTTCGGTTCTAGTTTTAACTCATAACTACCTTAGCATTCCACTGTGTGTATTTATTCAGTTGCAGGGGAAAATAGGAGGCTGTGGCTCTGTACACTTTCTCGGTGAGATTTATAGCTGGTGAACTAGTTTGCAAAATGCACACATTCTTCCACTTCAAGTCCATTTGCACAATCTTTATGTATTTAAAAGTAGATATTTATGTTTCAGAACTTTAAAAACTTGTATTTCAGAAATTCTTTAAAAGTAAATAATGCATACTTATCTGATAAGTGGAGTGTGCAGTATTTTCAGTCCTAATTATAGCATTAAAATGATAACAGTTGGTACATTGAGCAGACATAAATCAAAGCACGCTCTTAAAGAGGGAGCATGATAATAGGGACAGATCATGGGCTTGACTCTGTTTCATTACTTACAAGGTATGAACCTTGGCCCTGTTGCTAAGCTTTTCTGAGCCTCAGTTTTCCCATGTGTAAAATGGGGATAAGTATGCCATAGCATGCTAAATTGCTGTGAGGATTTGATGTAATGATGTGTGTTTCGGACCTAGGACTGTGCCTGCACAACCAGGATCCCTGGCACATACTTCAGATGCTTCTGAAGAGCAAACATTTATAGTCAATAAATGTTTGTTCCTTTCCACCTGTATTTTTAATAAGTAGGTCATATTCTGTGGAAATACAGTTTAGCTGATAGATCTCGTACTTGATTTGGGGTTCCAGTTGTTACATTACTTGGAGGTTAGGGTTTTGGCTCATCTCAGCTGTTCAATACAACCAGGATCCCTGGAATATACTTCAGATGCTTCTGAAGAGCAAAATGCTAATTTTGTGATAAATCTCATGCAGTTGATTCAGTAAGGTAGTCAAAGTCCCATAGAGTCTGCAAATAAGTTTGCAGTTTAGGATCAGGGAGATCACTTATAGCAACAACTGACATGTGGCAGAGAGCAGAGACAGATGAACAGGCAACAGTCATTTCAAGAAACAATAGACATTTCTGCACATATTACTAGCCCTGGAGTATATCATTAGATTTTATCATATCATTTATGTTCATGATTGATGCCACTGAGTGAATAGGAAAAGGATCAACGATGTTCTGTATCCTGGGTTAAAGAATTCATGTAATATTTCCTAGAAAGGTTTCCATAAAAAGTCATTAAGGTTGAGTCCTGGCTGGTGTGGCTCAGTTGGTGGGGCGTCCTCCCATGCACCAAGGGTTGCCAGCTCAATTCCCAGTGAGGGCACGTGCCTGGTTTCATACTCCCACTAGGGGGCATGCAGGAGGAAGTGGATCTCTCTCTCCCCCTCCCTCCCTCCCTCCCTCCCTCTCTTCCTTCCTCACTCCTTCCCCCTCCTCCCTTCCTTTCTAAAAAAAAAAAAATCAATAAAAAATCTTTAAAAAACATTAAGGTTGACAAGCCATTTTGGTTCTTCAGTGAATAAACTTTAGTTATTTGCACAATAAGCTTTTTATGAATTAACCTCATTTCCCCAAAGTGCCAAATAAATGAAACATTACTTAATATATAAAGCAAATTCTAATTATTATCTTAAATCTGCCCTCTTAGGCAACTCAAATTTTTTTAATAGTACATATCAGAGTTATATCTGAAAGAACAAATAATCATAGGGTTATTTTTCAATTTATCTACACAGTTTGGACCTAGAGAAAACTTAATTTGAGCCAGATTTTTTTGAACAAGAACTATACCTACTTCGATGCTAATTTAACTTATTTTCATCATTTCAGATTGAAGTGGTGCATGATTGTCTGGAGAAGAGAAGTTCTGGTCCATCCTCCAGTTTGAACAATAACAATACCTTGGATGTTTTAAAGAAGTATTTTTTAATTTATTAACAGACATATATACATCTACTCATAGGAGTCACTGATTCAGTGTCCAAGGCGAACATGTTTGGGATTTTGAGTTCACAGTATGGGGTTATACAAAATTTGATGAAAAGAACACTAGATGAAATATCAAAAGTCTTGCATTTAGACCTGGTTAACATATGCTCTGTTTATGTGACTTGAAAATTAACTAGACCTTTACAGAATATTAGTATCCTCTTTTGTAAATGAGGTCAGAGTGAATGGGACAGTGTTCCAAAAACTACAAAGGATTATGTATATATACAATGTTATTTTGTACATGTTAATAATCATTGTTTCATTCACTTTTATAGTATTCTGTTAACATTCCAGAGATGAGTATATTCACCTTTTAAATTTTATATCATAGAGTTGTAAGTAGCCAGTATTTAGAGCAAGATATATTTAGACACATACAGGGTGGGGCAAAAGTAGGTTTATAGTTGTGAGTACACAAAACACAGAGTTTGTGCTTATATTATTATTTATTGATTACATTATTTTCCATATTAACAACTGTAAACCTACCTTTGCCCCACCCTGTGTGTGTGTATGTGTATTAAAGATTTTTAAAGGTTAATGATTAAAAGGTAAAAAATAAAAAAGAGGATAAAGATAGAAGTTAAATTAAAAGGATTACTTATAGTGGGGAGTGAGGAAACAAATTTTAAATACAATGTCAATTGGAAATTGCTTTGGAAGGAAAATGTATCAATAATAATAAAAGCATAATATTCTAATTTGACCTTCCAGACAAAGCCGGGCTGCGAGGGAAGCCCGGGTCCGGCTGCCTGCTGGTGGCCAGAGGGAAGCCGGTGCCGGCAGCCGGGGGAAGAATGGCCTACTCTTGCACGAATTTCGTGCATTGGGCCTCTAGTTTTATTATAAAGTGCTAGTAATCAAAATTACTACAGAAACTTAAGTATGATTTATACTTGGGAAACCCAGTATAATAAATCCACTTAATGTCTTGAAAAATATCAGAACATTACTGGGAAAAAGGAAAAATTACGCCTAAAATTTTAATATTTCTTTTTGAGGGAGAGGGAGATAGAGAGGGAACTATAACTAAGAAACTGTGTTGCCCCCCTCCCCAAAAGTATTTCCCAGATTTTGGGGAATAGAGCTTGTGAGGTTTTAGTAAATTGATTCTTAAACTTAGTGAGTTAGAAATAAAGGTGTTTTTTTTTTCCATTTAAAAATAAGTCCTGAGCACCGCTCCCCATTCTTTTAAATATATTTTAGAATCTTGTGGTGGTACTTATTCTAGAAACCATAGAATTAATTTTACATTTTGATAATGAAACCAAAACTATTGGTAGTTCCTGTGATTAACAATTTTTACATTAGACAATTTATAATGATAACTGAAATATTGCAGTGCAATTCTAAAACAATAGAATAATTGATAAATATGATCTTTTCATTTTAGCCATGTCCTAAATGAGCTGATACAGACTGAGAAGATTTATGTTCGCGAGCTGTTTACTGTTTTGTTGGTAAGGGCGTCAAATTGTATTTTCCTATCTTTTCCTGAATGCTCCCCTGCTACATCTGTTAGGAAGTGTTTAGGGCAGTCTTCTCTTCCCGGATACTTCCTTGATTGTCACATGGCAGCAGTGGGTATTTCTGCTATGGCTTGAGACTGCATGTTTGTCAGATGTGTGTATTCAGGTTCTCCCTCAGGAGTAAGAATTGTGGATTCAGAATGTATTATAGAGGAGAGAAGCTGTTCTCTTAGTGATACAGCAGATGGTTCTAATTATTCCCATGGTACTATTTAGTGTTTGTGATATAAAGATCTAAAAATGGGAGAAAAACATTCATTTCATACAAGTGCCATAGTATGAATTTGGTCTGAAAAACCTAAACACTTATGGCTAGCTTAAGTAGAAGTTAATGACCTGTAATATAATTTTTCATACTTGGTTTCTATTTTGTTTCCTATACTATAAAGTACCCTGAAGGCCAATGAGCTATCATTTTATTTTACCCATTGAGTAGAAAACCTTCACTTCCATGTCCTACTTTCTAAAAAATAATGATGTATAGTTTTGGGAAATAGAAGGTTTATTGTTAAAATTACAAGCAGCTTCACCCACTAATTCCCTATACATTTTGTTGTACATATACCTTTGGTGGGCCAATCAACTGTTAATGTGAATCTTTTTAACTGAATAAATGTTTTTATTTTGGGTAGGGCTATAAAGCAGAGATGGATAATCCAGAGATGTTTGATCTTATGCCACCTCTCCTGAGAAATAAAAAGGATGTTCTCTTTGGAAATATGGCAGAAATATATGAATTTCATAGCAAGTATGTAATTGCTGAATTGAATTTTATTTTTCATGATATTATTTAAAGGGTTATTTACCAATTTATTTTCCATAAACATTATTTTTTTCTCTGAAATTTTCATAGCCTTTTCATGAGCAGTCTGGAAAATTGCATTGATGCTCCAGAAAGAGTCGGACTTTGTTTCCTGGAAAGGGTTAGTTCAATTATTATTTAAAAATATATAAATATGGACCACCAAAATAGCAGCTAATTTTATAAGAACAGATTTAGAGACAAGGTAGGTATTGTTCTTTACGTCTTTATATTTTTAGAGGAGACATCACTCGAGCAAGTATTTAATGCTAAACCAGGTTTTGTTACAGAAACTGGTGCAATAGGATATCGAGAGCATGCAAATGGCCATTGTGTTCTGTGCTAGCAAATGCTTCAATGGCTCAGCTTGTGTCCACTGACCCCTGGGTGATCCCAGGAGTCCAAGGACCATCCAAGCTATGAAGATGTGAGAGTTAGGAATCATCTTAGCACAACCATTCTTGGCTTGGTTAATTTTTAGCCTGAGATGCCTTGGTATTCCCCTCTAATACATGTGAAATCTTAGTAGAATCAAATGTAGTCTGGCTTTCAGACCCAAGGCATCTATCACAGGAACTTTGCAACACAGAGAGCTGTTTTTTTATTCTATGAGATCATTCAGGGAGACTCATTGCTCCATGTCCCAAGAGTGTACTTAATACAGTTGATTTCTCAAGTTTTGTAATTATACTCTCTTCCATTAGAGTTTCCTCTCAGAATATTCTCTGCTTATTTAGTTCTTCCTGTTTCTGAAATATCAGTTCTGTCTTAATTTGAGAGTCAATTGAATAGTGGAGATTATTGAAAGCTTCCTAATATATATCTGAGAAAGTATTTATGGACTGAGAAAATAGTAAGGTTAAGAAAGAAATTTTGGTTATTACCTTTCTCAACATATCCTAAATTGAAACACATTTAAACGATGCCCATATTTTTCCCTAAGCAACAGCAGTATCTCTTTCCTTTGGACGCCTGTCAGACTTAATGGCCATGGTATTCATTGGGGATTTTACATTTACTATGCATCTTTACATATATTCATGAATTCTTTCTCCACTTGATGGAAAAGTTTTTGAGGCAGGGTCCATATCCTATATATCTTTGTACTAGTATCTTTCATAAGGTTAGCAGAGTCCTTGGTAACCAGTTGTAGTTTAATACATGCTTTTTGATATGTTTATTCATTTAACAGCCATTTACTGAGAACGTACTATGTGCCAACCACTGTGCTAGGCTATGTGGGTACCAAGCCCATGACTACCGTATTCACAGAGAAAAATGGGGAACCCATTGTGTATAGTGTGAGTTGTGCTATGTTGGAGATAGACAAATGATCCTATAGGGGCCAAGAAGAAGTGAATCTTACATAGACTGGAGATATAAATAATGGCTTTATAGAAGAAATGACTCATGAGATGAATGTTAAAGAGTAAGAGGCATCCCATTAGATAAGGCTCGAATAAAGATGGTTCCAGGGAGAGAGAATAGCATGGGCAGATGTCTAATGGGTCATGGTACAATGATATGTCTCAATGATAAATCAAAGACCTTGGAATTTAGCTACAAATTCACTCACCAGGGAATTGAATGACTAACACCATAGGAAGAGCGTATTTCTTGGTACCCTATTAGCTCACAGTTGTGAAAATATGAGTCTGCTTTTATAGTTCATTCAGAGAAGGCTTTTCTCCCTCTAACTCTCAAACTTGGTAAGTAGAAGCTGTGAAATTACTTGGATAATTATGTGTTCCTCTACCTGTTCAGATGGACATGCTGTTCTTGGACTATAAAGAGGGTTCCCGACCAGCTGCCAGTGTGGCAGCACTTTAGGCCATATTCCCTATAATGCTTAGCCACACTCACTCTTGCTCTTACTTTCTCGATAAGAAAAGTACATTGTTCATAATTGGTAATGCATTTGAACTTGCTTTTATCACAGAAAACTGATTTTCAGATGTATGCAAAATATTGTCAGAATAAACCCAGATCAGAGGCAATTTGGAAGAAGTATTCAGAATGCGCTTTTTTCCAGGTATAGTAATTATTCAGGTTTTGGATATATTCTTTCTGAAAGATACTAGGATATTTCTTATTTATAAATTCATTTTCTACTTTAAATAAATAAAGTACTTTAATCAGCATATACATATATTGATTAAAAAGCAATTTTACCCTCCCCCAAACACACACATATGCACACATGTACACATACACACAACCACATTTATGCTGCTCCCCAGAGGCAACCACTTTTAGCTCTTTTAGCTACTTCTTTTGGTATTTACCTCTAAATCTTCAATATCATGCTTATGTTGCTGCTTCCCAACATGAGTTAGGGTTGATAATTGTTTGAAGTAGATTATATACTGGGTTTTATCCATATCCAGATGGGGGTCCTGAATCTTACATAGGTATAACCTCTTCCACTTCTTTTGTATTCTGCACTTCCTATACACACATTTCATCCTATACAGCACCCATCTTGACCTTATTAGAGACCCTACAAAGTTCCCAGGACCCAAAATTATGACCCTTATATTTATAGTGGCAGGGAATATAGCCAGTTAATGAGGGCTGGATTTTTCTTGTGATATTAAAAAAGCCTCTTCTCATACCCAATCTGATTTATATTCTGTATAACGTATTTCTTTTCTGGGCCTTGGCCTGTGGAGCTGAACCTTCTGTTAATTTTCTTGGATATTTTGAAGAACTTTTTAGTAATGTTCATCTATGGTCATTTGTTGCTTTCTCACCTTTTGAACATTCCACATCAATGAATTTATATATAAATGTTTTAGTCTTTGAAATTTTGAATTTTCTATCTCACAAATCCTTGAAATAATGTTTACTGTAGTTTTTCAAATATGCTGCCTCTAATGGTCATACCACATGTAACATCAATTTCTTCTGGTAAATTTTCCTTGTGATGTAAGAAACCTGCCATCATTGGATCTAATCAATAAACACTTGGAGTTTTCACAGGACTATGTCTTCATTTAAATTCATTGATAATATATTTTATCACAGGAATGTCAAAGAAAATTAAAACACAGACTTGGTCTGGATTCCTATTTACTCAAACCAGTGCAACGACTCACTAAATATCAGTTACTGTTGAAGGTAAGTACATTAAGCATTTGTTTATTTACTTTGGGTCAGATGTGCCAAAGTCATGAAAAGGGATTAGAAGACTAGAAAACACTAGAAATAGGTAGACTCATTGACTAGGAAGGCTAGGTTTAGCAGTAGGATCAACGCAGTGTGTTCCTTTGGTTCACTGGCTATGCAAGTGCTGGAAGCATAGATGTAAAGCTGAGAATATCTGGTGTCTCTTTAGCTATTTAACTGTACATACATGTACATTGACATATTTATAACATTTACTACAGAATTTTTACCGTTGTTAAGAAGAACTAAGCAAATATTTCTTAGAGTTTTGCAACTGCATTTAATATGGGTCTTCTCAATGGAAAGTGAATATGGCACATCCCTTGTGTAATGTGAATTGTGTAATGTGTAAATACAGCATAGCTTGTTTTAAAATGTATTTTTACAACCTCATACTCAATGGGCAAAAACTGAAACCATTTTCCCTAAGAACAGGAACAAGACCAGGATGTCCGCTTTCAGCACTCTTATTCAACATAGTACTGGAAGTCCTAGCCATAGCGATCAGACAAGAAGAAAAAATAAAAGGCATCCAAATTGGAAAGGAGGACATACAACTGTTATTATTCAGAGATAACATGATATTATACGTAGAAAACCCTAAAGACTCCATAAAAACTAGATTTAATAAATGAATTCAGCAATGTAGCGGAATACAAAATTAGCACCCAGTAATCGATGACATTTTTATACACCAATAATGAACTCTCAGAAAGAGAAATGAAAAAAAAACACACAATCTAATTTATCATTGCAACAAAAAATTAAGATACTTAGGAATAAACTCAGCCAAGGAGGTAAAAGACCTATACTTTGAAAATTACAGGACGTTGAAAAAAGAGATAGAGGAAGATATAAACAAGTGGAAGAATATATCATGTTCATGGATTTATAGAATCAACATTGTTAAAATGTCCATATTACCCAAAGCAATCTATAAATTCAATGCAATCCCTATTAAAATACCAATGGTATATTTCATAGATCTAGAACAAACACTACAAAAATTTATATGGAACCAAAAAAGACCCCCCAAAAGCTTCAGCAATCTTAAGAAGAAGAACAAAGTTGGAGGAATCACAATACTAGATATCATGTTATACTACAAAACCACTGTACTCAAAACACCCTAAAGCACAAGAACAGAGAACCCAGAAATTGACCCAAGCCATTATGCTCAATTAATATTTGACAAAGGAGGCAAGAGCATGCAATGGAGTAAAGACAGATTCTTCAATAAATGGTGCTGGGAAAATTGGACAGGTACATGCAAAAAAATGAAACTAGACCACCAACTTACACCATACACAAGAATAAACTCAAAACAGGTAAAATATTTAAATGTAAGTCATGAAACCATAAAAATCTTAGACGAAGGCATAGGCAGAAAAATCTCAGACATCTCTCATAGCAATATGTTTACAGATACATCTCCTAGGGCAGTGGTTGGCAAACTCATTAGTCAACAGAGCCAAATATCAACAGTACAATGATTGAAATTTCTTTTGAGAGCCAAATTTTTTAAACTTAAACTATATAGTTTTACTATGGTTGCAAATATCAAAAAATTTCTGTATGTGACAGGGCACCAGAGTTAAGTTAGGGTTTTTTAAAATGCTGACATGCCAAGCTCAAAAGGTTCGCCATCACTGGTCTAGGGCAAAGGAAATTAAGGAGAAAATCAACAAATGGGACTATATCAAAATAAAAAACTTCTGTACAACAAGCAACCATCAGCAAAATGAAAATAGAGCCCACTGCATGGGAGAACATATTTGCCAATGATACATCTGATAAAGGGTTACTTTCCAAAATGTATAAGCAACTCATACAACTTAACGAAAGGAAGACAAACAATCCAATTAAAAAATGGGCAAAGGACCTAGATACTTCTCTAAAGTGAACATACAAAAGCCAAGAGACATATGAAAAAGTGCTCAAAGTAACTAATCATCAGAGAAATGCAAATTAAAATGACAATGACCTCACACCTGTCAGAATGACAATCATCAACCAATGAATAAATGACAAGTGCTGGCAAGGATGTGGAGAAAGGGGAACCCTAATACACCTCTTGTGGGAATGCAGACAGGTGCAGCCACTGTGTAAAACAGTATGGAGTTACCTCAAAAAATTAAATATGGAACTGCCATTTGACCCAGTGATCCCACTTCTAGGAATATATCCTAAGAAATCAGAAACACCAATCAGAAATAATATGTTTACCCCTATGTTCAGACCAGCTCAATTTACAATAGCTAAGATCTGGAAACAGCCCAAGAGCTCATTAGCAGATGAGTGGATAAAACAAAACAAAACTGTGGTTCATTTATACAATGGAATACTATGCAGTTTAAAAACAAAACAAAACAAGTCTTACTATTTGCAACAGCATGGATGGACCTGGAGGGTATTATGCTAAGTAAAATAAACCAGTTAGAGAAATATAAGTATCACATGATCTCATTCATATGTAGAATCTAATGAACAAAATAAACTGATGAACAAAATAGATCCAAAAACATAAAAGCATGAAACAGACTGATGAATTTCAGAGGGAAGGCAGGCTCTATGTATAGCCCAGGGACACAGACAACAGAGTGGTGAAGGCCTGGAGGTGGTGCAGGGTGGAGGAGGTCAATGGGGAAGAAACAAGCAAACAAAGAGGAAATCTGTAATACTTTCAACAATAAAGGAGAAAAGTAAATTTTTGTGTGTAGAAGACCAAAAAATGTGATTGCTTTACAAACTAATCTCTAGTATGTCCTAAAAACTTTGTTCTTCAGCACTGAAAGCATTGAATGTCCTTTACTTTATATTGTTTAGGCAACATTCCATTTCTTCTCCAATTTTGACATTGTTATTAAATATAGTATTAATGTGACAAATAGCATATGAAAGAAACTATTCAAAAAAGTGACATTATCTTTGAACTCCTCTTTGAAAGCATGTTGGCTGAAATTTTATTCATTTTCTCCAGCTATTAATATCTGCCTATATTAAGTCTAATTCTTGACTTCTAATTACAGGAACTATTAAAATATAGTAAAGACTGTGAAGGATCTGAACAATTAAAGGTGGCACTTGACACAATGCTGGATTTACTGAAGTCAGTTAATGACTCTATGCATCAGATTGCAATAAATGGCTATGTTGTAAGTAGACTTTAATGGTTGTTACAATTTTAGGGGGTAAGCATGTTCACATACCTTTCTTCCTCTTTTGGAACCAATTGAGAAATAAGAAGAGGCAGATAAATGGAGATCTAAATGTCAGCATTATTACTGATAATGCTAAGGGGAGAATTGCTTCAGATCACCAGCCAGATTTATTTGTGATACTCCCTTTGTCCCCAAAAGCCTACCCCCAAATCCAGATCTTGTGTGATCCTGCTAGAAGGAATGTTTCGGTCTTCTAAGGAGACCTGTTGTCCCAGTATTTCTCCTTGTCCTAGTCCAGGATAGGTATGGAAGAAAAAGATAAAATCTTTAGAGGTAGCTCCACCCAGTGGAGAAACTTGGACTGGTAAGTGTCATGCGCCAATCGGGATTGAGGAAGAGATGAGAGTTTCCCTATCTAAACTACCTCCAAATGGAGACATGAAGCCAGGGAAAAGGAAGCTTTTAGATGTCATACTCCATAGTAATTTTGTAACTATTTGACACATGGCATGTTTTAATGTAAGAAGCTATGAAAAAATTTAAAAACTATATCAATTATGCGTCAGGATTTTAGTAGTTCAAGCTAAACACTGTAATGTTGATGTCAAGAATCTGAATGTAGCTCTGCCTTGTACTAATAAGTTTTGATTTTCCATTCTAGGGAAACTTAAATGAGCTGGGCAAGATGATAGTGCAGGGTGCATTCAGTGTTTGGACTGGACACAAAAAAGGTGCTACAAAAATGAAGGATTTTGCTAGATTCAAACCAATGCAGCGGCACCTTTTCTTGTATGAAAAAGCCATTGTTTTTTGTAAAAGACGTGTTGAAAGTGGTGAAGGCTCTGGTAGATACCCGTCATACAGTTTTAAGCGCTCTTTAAAAGTAAGACAATTTGAATTGCATAATCTAATTTTCTTTCATATATATATCTAAGTTTGTGTAATTTTTCAGTTCAAATGAGTGGGTTTTATACTTTAGTGATACATCCCTTTGTTTAAACAATATTTTTAATTGAGGTATAATTTACCTATTACATTATATTAGTTTCACATGTACAACGATTTTGTATTTGTATGTATTGCGATACGATCACCACAATAAGCCTAGTTAACATCTGTCACCACACAGTTAAATTTTTTTCTTGTGATGAGAACTGTTAGTGACTTTCAAATATGCAACATAATATTATTAATTATAGTCATCATGCTATACCTTACATCCTGAGGACTTATTCATTTTATAACTGGAAGTTTTTCTTTCCTCTGATACCCTTCACCCATTTTTCCTTCTCCCATCTATAAAATCTTAAATAGAAGTCTAATATAGAAGTCAGGTAAAGCAGAACTTCTCTGCCTGAAATGAGTGAGGCAGGGCAGAGCTTTGCCTCCATCCTTTTTCTCTCTCACTCCAATCCTAAGCAGTCCCTAAGGGGGCTCCTTAGTGTCCTGCAGAGCATAGTGTGAAATAATGAGAAGTGACCCAGGCTCCTCCATGAGCACTCTTACTGGTGGTACTGTGTAGAGTTCTTGGTATCAGGGAGCTTTTATAACAAGAGACAATGAGGAAAGAATTTATTTCTTTTCTTTAGTGTAATTTAAAAATGAAATGTGCTTAGCCCTTCCCTGCCTTCCTTTTTGTATCCCTCCTCCATTCCCTAGCATCTCCCTCAGTATTCAAACCCACCTACAGCTGAATCCTGTCCATACTTGTCTTGTCCTATCTTTTGAAATTACTTTCTTCTCTCCTATAACCCAAACTACCATTCTGGTCTAATATTAGTTTGGTATGAAAATGAGACCAATAATGTTTGAGAGAGTCACAGGCAGTCTAGTGATATTCCCAGATGGTTCTGATGTTTGATAAGAGGAACTTCCAACTCTCATGGGTCTGTAATTAGTGAATTTGATTTTTTACACCTAATTAGTTTTATCTTTCAAGTTTTAAATTGTAAAAGCAATGTATCATTTGCTATAGAAAAATTTGGAAAGTAGAGAAAATTATTACACTAATCATTTTAGTCATTTAAAAAAAATTTAAGTTCTTTATTGTTAAAATATTACACGAGTCTCTTTTTTCCTCCATTGACCTCTCTCCAGCCACTCCCACCCCCCAGCACATGCCCTCATCCCCCTACTGTCTATCCATTGATTATGCTCATATGCATGCATACAAGTCATTTTTCATGAGCATGTTCTTTCATTGTTGTATATATTTGAGAATTGATGAAATTTTTTTCAGCAGTAATAAAGAGAACAGGCAATGTGTCCTGAGAAAGGCCTGAGGTGTTTGTGTCAGAAGGCTACTACATAAGCAGGCCCTGCTTCTGACTCTTCTGAAGGTTACCAGTTCCATGCTGTTCCTAACAAGGTTCCTGGCCAGGGTTAGGTCTCCAACTTCTTCCCACTGTCCTCTTTCCCTGCTTTACTTCTAAACTGACAGTAGTGTCACAACTTCTTTAAAACTCTCACGTTTTTTCATTACAAATGCCCAATTGCTCCTTGGATATTAGCAACCCACCTTCAAACCCCCAAATCTCCAAGGGTCTTTTATGTCTCTAATAAACATTGGTTGAGAACCAAGAATTTACAACTGATATTGGACAGAGTGCAGATCTCTTCTTGGGAAGGTACTTTACCTAATTGTGTACTATATTTTAAGTTGGCCCTTTCTACGCAAAGAAAGGTCCCTAAGGTTAGTCAGGTGAAGAGATTTGAGTTCTTCAGAGAACTCAGTTCATGCATTTATTATTATCATCTTTTAAAAAAAAATATGGATTTATTGATTTTTTTTGAGAGAGAAAACGTCAATGTGAGAGAGAAACGCGGATCTGTTGCCTCCTGTACACACCTGCCGGACTGGGGATCAAACTTGCAACCTGGGTATATGCCCTGACTGATGACCTTTTGGTGCACAAGATGATGATGCTCAGCCAACTGAGCCACCCTGGCAAGGGCTATCATCTATTAAAAAAAATAACATACCACACAATGCTTACTATGTGCTATGAATTTTTCTGAGTGTTTATAAATATTGTTAACTCATTTGATCCACATAGCAATTTTATATAAGTGGGAACTATTAGTAACCTATTATTCCAATTTTGTGGATGGGAAAGCTAAGTTCCAGAGTGATAATTTACCCACGAACACATAGCTTGTGCAGTGCAGCTTCAGACCCAGGCAGATTGCTCTATAGTCTATGCTCTCAATCACTACACCAAGGTAGGAAGCCTGTTCATGTTCATTCATTCTTTCATTCCTTCATTCATTCTTTTTTACTCCCCATTCTCCACACTTGCCTCCTCTCTACCCCTGTAGCAACCATTCTAATTTATTTATTTTTAAAAAATATATTTTATTGATTTTTTTACAGAGAGGAAGGGAGAGGGAGAGGGATAGAGAGTTAGAAACATCAATGAGAGAGAAACATCGATTCAGCTGCCTCGATTCAGCTGCCTCGATTCAGCTGCCTCTTGCACGCCCCCTACTGGAGATGTGCCCGCAACCCAGGTACATGCCCTTGACCGGAATCGAACCTGGGACCCTTCAGTCTGCAGGCTGAGGCTCTATCCGCTGAGCCAAACCAGCTAGGGCCCATTCTAATTTATTTGATGTATACTGTCCAGTTTGTGTGTTCTTGATAAATGTATACCAATATTCTGTATACATGTAATTTGGAACTGAGAATAATATTGTCTGATAAATATAATGGTTACATTTCCAGGGTAGCTTAGAAAAATCTCATTTAATCTATAATGATACATTGTATGTGTTGCAACAAAGTTGAGAAAGCAAACTCATACTTCACAAAGCTCATTGTATGACCAAAGCATTTAATGCCTGTTACTTAATCCTATATCAACTCTATGCAATAGGTATTCTCCCCATTTTATAGTTGAGGAAACTTAAGTTCAGAAAGGTTAAGCAACTTGCACCAAGAAACATAACTATTAAGTGGTAGAGGTGCAATTCCAATCCCAGCCTCTTGGACTCCAAAGCCCTTGTGCTTTCCATCTTATCATGCTATTGGGACAAAGTAATGTATTGAAGCGAAGTCAATTTAAATAGACATTGAATATGATATTATTATTTTAAATTCTGATGTTTAAGCAAAAGTAGGTTAGAGTGGTTGAATAGGAATATAAAGATATTTTTGGACATTGAGAAAGTAATTTCTGACTACATTCAGGGTAGATGCCACAGGCTCTTTCATTTATATGTCACATTTCGTTTCTAAGTATAATCCTTTTTTATTTTCTTTGATATGGAGATTTCACTAGCATTACTTTGAATGCTTATCAGCCCTAAATAGGGTCATTTGTAGGGCTCATAAAAGGAACAGAAAGTAAGATATTCCTTTTAGATAACTGGGCAAGAATTGAAAGAAAAGAGAACGGAGAAGGGGATTAAAGAAGAATGTGTGTAAAAGGGAGTAAAATGGTCAAAATGGAATTAACAGTGCTATTAGCAGCACAGAATGAATGAAAATGGAAGAGATTGTGCTTTGCACAATCATATGGAGGACAAGAAAAACTGTGATAAGGAATGGATATTATATATAAAAATTTTACTGGCTATAAAAAGACATCATTCTCCCATGACAGATTATTTGTTTTCTAGAAAGGCTGAGAGAATGGTGGAACTGGAGGGACTCCTTGTGTACCTGGCTGGTTTTCCCATACCCCATAAATCAGATGTTTGTAACTTGTAGGATTTCTATAGAGATAAGTAATAAGTTGTAAGATTAACTTATTTTGCAAAATGGTTGTTAAAAATAACTATTTAAATTAATGTTGGATGACCTTTTAACACAGATGTTGCTTACTTTTACTTCTTTTTGACATAATTTGTTTTCAGAGTATACAGTTAATTTATAATAGAATTCAATCTTAGATGGACTACTTGAATGTTCAGATATATAACCTTTGGTTCAATCACTGGAATGGGGCATGCAATTTGCACAATAAGTGCATAGTTCACTGAAAACATTTAAATATTCAGGTCTGTTATTGAAATATCATTTTATATAATTTCATATTTTTTGAATATAAAATGTGTATTTTGCCCAAGTGATAAATTTTATTTAGAATACGATGGGGGTAGATTTAATGTAATTTTGTATTCAAAATGCTCATGAAAATTTTGACTTATATATTATAGATGGATGAAGTTGGAATCACTGAATATGTAAAAGGAGATAACCGCAAGTTTGAAATCTGGTATGCTGGGAAAGAAGAAATTTATATTGTCCAGGTTGGTAATTTAAAATTTTTTCTAAAAATCATTTTGGTTACATTATAAAATGTCTCATTCCTTTCATATAGGTCACTTAAATATTATTGAGTTATTATTTTTTTCTGGTATGGTTAAACATTTTTTCAGTAACAGGCTTTTTTTTTTTTTTTTTAAACGACACATGCCTATGGTGCTTTCTAGGGCTTTAAGTTTTCACAAAACTTCACTAGGAGATTTTCAACTACTAAGAGGCCCAGTGCACAAAAATTTGTGCACTTGGGGGGCGGGGGAGGGGGGTCCCCCAGCCCGGCCTGTGCCCTCTCGCAGTCTGGGACCCCTCAGGAGATAACGACCTGCTGGCTTAGGCCTGCTCCCGGGTGGCAGAGGGCAGGCCCAATCCCTAAGTGCAGCCCCTGGTCAGGCTCAGAGCAGGGCCGATTGGGGAGTTGGGGCACCGCCC